TATATATATAATCAAATAAAAAATAAAAGAGAGCAAAAATTGAGTAAAAGGAAACAGTTAGCTACAAAATAAAAGAGGCATTTACACACATGCCACAAAATTTCTATGTATTTACATATCTAACACCTATACTTGTTACATTTATGGCATCCAAAATCTTTCTTATAACATCAAAAAAATCATTATTTTAAATTATAAAAAGTGAAATACACCTCTTCGTGTAAAGGTAAGGTGGCATAGAAGTAAGAAATTGAAGTTTAGGTGTTAGATATGTAAATACATAAGAATGAAGTGGTATGCATGTAATTCTTCCAGATAAAAAGCATGGAATATAATTTGGCGCAGTTTACTTACTTTCCATGATGCTCTTGAATGTTTCCTGCAAGAATGAGATTACAAACATAAATTTATTAGGAATTTCTATGTAGTATGCTATCACAGCTCAGCAAAAATTAAGAATATAAGCACTGATTTGTAAAAAGCAGCTGTTATTGGACAATTAGAACAGTTGATTTGAGATAGGAGATGGGAGATGGCGAAATAAAGGAGTATAGATGTTGGAAAATCTGCAAAATTTATTTCAAACAAAGAGAAAAAGAAGAGCACTGCACAAAATCGCATAATAATTTTAGGATAATTACATACAGACCACACAAAATGTTGATATTTACAAATTAATCACCCGAGTGATTTTTTGAACTATCAAACCGATGTATTTATGTTTGCCACAATCAAACTATTTAGAATTTGATAAAAATGAAAAATATGTGTTGTGATTTTAACATGAATTTTGATATTTGATATTTGAGCTATTAAATGAGTATCAAAAGTTGCATAATTTTGCATGCAATAAAAAAAGCCAACTCATATATTACAAAAATAGCATTCGTGTCCTTTTATTCATCGAGTTTATAAAAGTATTAATTTAGTCAACATATTATTTTAATATGAGCTGAAATAATTCCCACAGAGGACTATTTCAACCTCTATTAATAGAGTCTGAAGACTAATTTGACATTTTTATAGACTCTCAAACTAGAATCACTCCATGTAACAAGTTACAGGACTATTTTGACACACTACACTTTTTTTAAACTATCAAATTGAAGTATCTTTGCGTGGGTCAATCAAACTATTAGCAATTTGATAAAAACGAAAAAATAAGGGTCGGGTTGTTATTGCGAACTTCGATGTCCAAGCGAGAATTTCAAAAGTAGTTTTACAAATAACAATGCTTCGAGATTACCTCATCCTTCGTCAAGCGAGGATTGTACAGCATCTCCTCCCCAACAGTAGAAACCTGAGGGTACATAGCTAACAACTAAACATTAATTTTTACATCCATGACACCTTATCTATGCATGCAAAGGTGTTCTTCATTTTTGGTATTTTTTATGTGATGTGAAAGATTAGAGTGGTATAAATGTAAAGAGTAAAATTTAGGTGCTAGATATGTAAAAACATAAGAATTGGGTAGTATGTATTTTGTGAAAAAGAATGAAAAAAATGTTTCTTACGGTGAAGCCCTTATAGTCATGAGCAGGATAGAGAAGTGTGTCGTTGGGCAATGTGAATATCTGCTCATAAAGAAGGTAAATAGTAAAAAATGCAATTTGCAGGATATGTTGAGAAGATCTAGAGATAATACTAAGATTTATTTGATCTGCTTGCCTGCGAGTGGACCGACTGGTAGAGCTGACGAGAACTTCCTCCCTGTAAAATTGATAAATTAGATTATTAACCTAACACAAAAATAAGAATATGGAAGCTAAAAGAAAATCAGGCTTTCTAAATTTGAGTTCTTTTCATCCATGGAAGATAAATTAAGGTATGAACGATAAGCAGGCAAAGTTTGACCCTTTTCAAGGGGCATTTACATGCATAACACCCAAGTCCTATGTATTTACATATCTAACACCTAAATTTTACTTTTTACATCTATGCCGCCTAAATATTTCATATCACTTTAAAGTTACCATCATTTTAACTTTTAAAAAGTGAAATACACCTTTTATTGGTAAGGTGACATGTATGTAAATTTGAAAGTTTATGTGTTAGTAATATGATCTGAAACAAAAAATCAACACAATTTTTCACATAAACTAGGGCAAAACAGATTTCTTATTTCAATAATTCAAACAACACAATAAAAATACTACGATAAGCACCTAAGATTAGACAAATAGTTGATCTTTCTCAATTCATACAATTCAAGAGGTCGAAAATCTCTCCCAAAACCTTAACCTAAGACTCACAACTCAATCCCATGCATAAAAACTAACCCTAAACATAATAAGTCTATTTATACCCAACAATAATAATAATAAAAGACTAAATTGCCCTTCATGCATAAGCATAAAAACTAACCCTAAACATAATAAGTCTATTTATACCCAACAATAATAATAATAAAAGACTAAATTGCCCTTAGGAATATAAAAGACAAACTTGCCCTTATACTAGACATAGACATAACTATACTCCAACCTCCAAAAGACACATTGTCCTCAAGATGGGAAACAATTAGACAGTTGCTTGATCAAGTCAAGCGACTTCCACCAGGCGTCATTATTTGACCATCTTTTCCATTTAAGCAGGAATTCATGATGACTCACAGGAGTTCGAAATGTAATCTTATGCACATCCTGTGGTCACATTTGAATCGATTGGTGGTCTGATTTCCAATCAATCTTAGAGAATATCATAGCCCCCAAACAACTTATCACGTGGCTTATAGATCACCATAATCTATTTTAACTCTGTTTCATGTGTCTCTTCCATCTTTATCAACTTCAATCCTGATTGCTTTTGTTTGATCAACTCATTTGAATGTTGTACTATTTCTTCAAAATGTTGCGGCTTGAGTTTAGATCACCATAATCTATTTTAACTCTGTTTCATGTCTCTTGCATCTTTATCAACTTCAATCCTGGTTGCTTTTGTTTGATCAACCCATTTGAATGTTGTATTATTTCTTCAAAATGTTGCGGCTTGAGTCCGCTCTGGGTTTCCTCGCTCAATACCATAGCTTCCGATCCGCTGTGGCGTTGCCCTCATTTCACGCGAATCCTTTAGGTTGATGTTGTTGGAATCCATTCCCGACATTGTGTCTCAACCTCGTGACAGGGTAGAGCCGGTTTTGTGTGAAACTCCATTAACTTCTTCATCATTTCTTACATTTCCCTTATGCTCTCGAATCCATCCTCCATTCAACTCTCTATGGAAGAAAACATATTCTATGGTGACGAATATTTCTTCCATCTCAGATCTTTCTCTAATTTCTCCTCCAAGCATCTACTTTCTTTACTAACATTGCTTCTTGTAGGGTTTCGAAACTCGTGATCCTGTGGTTGGCTTCCCAACTAGCTTGAATCACAACTGTATCGCGTGGTTCGGTCACGAAGGTGGAACCCTGCACATTTTGATTTTTTTGTTGGCTTCCCAACTAGCTCGAATTACGATTGTATTGCAAGGTTTGGTCATGATGGTGGAACCATGTACGTGGAGATTCTGTTGTTGGCTTCCTTGCCAGCTTGAATCTTGACTGTATCGCGAGGTTTTGTCATGAAGGCACGAAACTTCTTTTTCATCGCAATGTCGTCGTTGGCTTCCCAACTATCTCGAATCGTGACTGCATCGGGAGGTTTTTTCTCGGACGACGTAGTGCGACGGAATCTATTTGTCGCGATCCCGTCTTAAGCTTCCTAGCTAGCTCGAATTGTGATTGTATTGCGAGGTTTGGTCACAAAGGTGGCTTGAGGAACATTGTGAATCACGAGAGGTTTGGTTAGAATCTGATACCATTTTTATAGAAACTTTCCCAAAAATTGGGACAAAATAAAATATTTTTTTACTAGCACAAAACAACACAACCCAATTACATAAAAGATAAGCACCTATAATTTGAGAGGTAGTCGATCTTTCCCAAACTCTAAACCTAAAATTTACGACAACAAAATCACACATATTACATAACCCTAAACATATTAAGCCCTATTTATACTGCATAATGATAATTAACAAATGACTAAATTGCTCTTTTAGTCTAACATAAATTTTCAAACTATTTTGGCGGGCTTGGCATCGACTTAGTGAAGCATGAGGCGGATGGTGCCGTAGATGCCAGTGTAAGAGTTAGTTATTAATAAAATAAAATATTAACTTCATATAGTTTGAAAAAGCGGAAAACATACAAGTATTTTAATAAGCTTTTGCCCTTTCTTCTAACTAAAAGTATGATACCTTGTGCAAATTCCCAACTATATATATATATATATATATAT